GCTGAACGTCAGTGCGGATCTAGGCACAAAGACACACCAGTGTCACGAAATCAAAGCTACCATTTCGGTAGAGCGCATTCACACTGCGCCACCTGGATCAGCTCCAGTTACATCACCTATGTCCACACAGCAGCGCTGTATCCCAAAAAGCACGGTGCACTGCGGCTTGGTATCCCAGGGGCCTCTGCACCACCTGTAGGCTCATCGCCAGGTGGGAAACATTTGCAGTGTATTGTGGGAGAGCCGCTGGCATCGCAGGGAACTGCAGGAGTTGTGGGTCACACGCCCAGAATTCTAGCCGATCGATCCCATAATGCACCATTCCTGTACTACCCGCTGCACACATGGATGAGGGACACTGCATGCTAAGTGGCGACCTTGATGGCGGCCTCAGCAGACAGGCCAAGGCCGGATTGGACAACAGAGACAGAACTGCGCGTCAGCCCAGAGGCGCTCACGCTGGGGAAGGAGAAGTCCGCTCTGCATCTGCCCGTGCTGTAGCTACACAGAGGCCTTTGGTCTCCAAGGATTGCCAAGCCAGCCCCCTTCGCCGTCAGGAAACCAACCTGCCGTGATAACACGCTCCTTGCAACAGAAACACCTTTTGCCCTGAGGTCACGTCTGAAAAATTCCTAGAGGAGATTTTTATGGGCTGCCGCAGGACTGGAAGGCAGCAAGAGAACACCGCAAACCACGACCAACTACAGGGATCAGAGGGCAGGGGAGAAAAGCCCAGCAGAGATTTAAATGGGACGTGGCTACTCAGGCGGTTTATTATTGTTCAATTAAACTGCAGTATTTACACGACTTCCTGCCAGCACAAATACACTCAGTGTCTGAATCTGGTGTCGCGTATCTTCCCTCTACAAAAATAAAGGAGAGGGGCTCCCCAAGAGGGGGCACTGGGGGGGCAGAGAAGGGATTAGTAACGAAGTCTCCGATTAAGCAAAGCACTTAAGCCCATGCTTAACTTTAGGCACATGCTTAAACGCTCTGGCCTGAGTGGGACTTTCAGCCCATTCTGAGGTGCTCTGATGAACACAGATGGGAATTACTGACATGCAGCACATGCGCTAAGGTTCTGCCGACTGAGGGCCCGATCCTAACCCCACAGAAATACACGGCAAACGTTTCTATGGGAGCAGAATTGGGCCTGGTGGGTAGAGCTTTGCTGTCGAAGGTTATAGAAAGATCTCCCAGGAAGGAAGGAGGTCAGGAAAGAAGACGAAGACAACCCCAGCTTACAGGGGGCAGAAAGAATCCCAGCAGGACCCACACACCTCGGCCCATTATCGCCATCTGAACTGGGCAGCCTCAGGAGAGCACTGCAGAGCAATAGAAATAAATCCGTCCTCCCAGCCGCAGCTCTCCCGCCGTTTAACCACTGTTCTATCCCCGTTTAACCTGGGTGAAAAGGTTCCCTTTTGGTTCACCCAGACTCAACCGCAGGACACGATACTCGAGTCTGCAAATCCTAACCCAGGTCCCCGCCCCCAGCTTGGCTGGATTTCCTGCACTCGGATCCCCAAGCGGGCACAGCGATCCGTGCGAGGACAGCACGCACCAGGGAATGTCCGGTTAAAGAGCCCTGTGCCCTGCCCCTTTAAGCACTGACGGTCTGTTGTGGGGGTCAGTGGGGCTAGGTCTGGTTGTAGCAGCAGACTTGCGTGTGCCCCCAAAGGACGGGGCAGCCATAGGCCTTGTGCCAGCTTATTAAACTTAATAAATCTCCCGTTTTGAAACGCTCCTTGGCCTGGAAGCGCAACACGAGCACATTCCCGGCCCTGATCGCCACGGCAGGCGCAAGAGCCTCCTCCTTTCCAACGTCTGTCTTCTGAACCAGCCTCCTCGGACTGTACTCGGCCATTTTTGTCCCCCTTTCTGCTGCTGGTTATTATTTAGTTCTGCACAAGAGCCTTGAGAGTCAGTTTACAGGGCAGAAGCCACCCAAAAATAAGGGGGGCGGGGAAAATCCCCTGTTGTTCTGTTCCCAACAGACTGAACTGGGCCATTTGGATGCAGAGGGAAAAGCAGGACCAGCCCTCCAAGTTTAATTGCATTGTGCGCTGATCGCATATGTTCAAAACAAAACAACCCTAAAATGCTCGTGTGTTGTGTGACGACTTAAACAAAGGAATCTAAACAAGACAGGCTGGACATGGCATAAACCAGCTGCTTCTCAAGACACGCTGCTTCAAAACGAAAGGGCCAAATGCAAGGGGGGAGGGAGGTATGCCAAGCAAAGAATTTGCCCCTAAAGGCACCGCCAATGTGTTTAACCTTTAAAGCACAATGCTGCTCCCACCAGTATGAATGGGAATTTTGCTCACAAGTTCATAAGAAGCAGAAGCTGTCATGATTTTATTGGGTCTCAAACTATTTGGTGTCAAGGCCTCAGCTCCAGGAGTCATGTGGAATGGGAGAATCTCCGTTTTCACGATTTCTAAGCCAATCCCATGATTTCTGAACATCTGGAGGTAAGAACCTTGGCAACGCAAAACCATCACTTGAGCTAGTGAAGGAGCTGAGGAGTGCTCAGGCCAATGCGTCAGGATGCAATTAGACAGGGCCGGCTCCAGGGTTTTGGCCGCCCCAAGCAGCCAAACAAAAAAAAACCAAAAACAGCCGCGATCGCGATCTGCGGCGGCAATTCGGTGGGAGGTCCTTCGCTCCAAGCAGGAGTGAGGGACCGTCCGCCAAATTGCCGCCGAACAGCTGGACGTGCCGCCCCTCTCCGAAGAGGCCGCCCCAAGCACCTGCTTGGTAAGCTGGTGCCTGGAGCCGGCCCTGCAATTAGAACAGCTACGTCATTTTTTGCTAGTGCATCCTCACCTACTAATTATAGCCCAGTGTAATTTAACTATCCTATAAAATTTCACCCCGAAGACCTCTACTTTTTCTCCTATTTGAAAGCATAAGAGTATTTATTTTAAATATATGTACAGAAAACAAAATTCCCTGAGCCCATTGCTAAATTCAATGGCATTCCAGGCAGGCCAGAGAGTTACATTTCACGGTAAACGTAATGTTCTGTTCTCAGTATCCCGTAGAACTGTGCTAGACAAACAGAACAGATTGCTCCAAGAGCCACCACTTGGCTGGACGGCTCCATCTGAAAGCACCTGCAGCCACTCATAAAAAAATTAATGATTGTGCAATTGACTGATGTTATTTGGTGAAGAAACACATGATCAAGCTGGAAACCAAGGACACAGACTCGTCTGTTTCATGCCTCTTCCATCTAGCACCACCTTCCAGCGTCACACGGCTATTTTAAGAGAACGTGCCCCATTTGCAAGCATGGAAGCTTATACAGACTATCCAAACCACACACTTAGATGCTCAGATCAGTACCTAGGGTGAAATTAACCCTGTGCAGACACCAAGCACCAGACCGATACATTCGGTAAGTCACCAGTGCTCCAGTCCTGCAAAGACTTACTCACATGCCTAACTTTGCACAATGCAACCAGCCCCATCAGCTTCCCAGGGGTGACACGAGGTGCGTTAGGTTAAGCACAGGCTCAGGTCATCAGAGGCGTTGAGTGGTGCACAGGCATTTTGCTAACCCTCTGCCTGGTGTAAATGTCTCCCCATAAGCCCCCTAACACAGCCTCCCAGGCTGGGAAACCAGGCCTATAGACCTCACTTTAACCCAGAGCCAGAGACTTCATCCCATTTTGCTAGTTAAAAGCTAATGTATTTAAGATAAAGGTTGAATTTCTGTCTCGGAAAAAAAAGAGAAAACTCAGCTGCACGACCCCATCAAGCTCTGTGTTCAGATTCGGTGAAAGGAGTCGTTTTTCCCGCGTGACTCTAATACGTTTGGCATTAAGTGCTGACAGTTCTGCCCGGGTGTTCTGCCAAAGATAAACCATAGACATGGAGCTTCTTTTTAAGATACTTAGGATTTACGATTCAGGAAAAGGAAAAGATTTCCAGCCCTACCACTTGCACAACCCCCAGGAAAATTCACAGCCGTAACTACACAGCTATCAAGTGAGTAATGAAATGAACTGAACGACATATTGGAGGACAAGAGGGTCAGAAATCTTCTGGACAGGAGTGACGCTCTGGGGACTAAGTAATTGCTGATCACTGAAGTTAACATGCTAGAATCACATTTGGTTCATAATGGGAAATCCACTCACACGCAGGCTGGAGCAATGCCCCACTCGTTACCCAAATCACTCATAGGAAACGCTTTCATGAGGACTCAGCAAAAGGCTTTTTCTTTAAAAGCCGAGTACCCCTTGTGGAGAGAGCCCGAAAGCCCAGGCTTGATTTTCTACATAAACCATTCCATTACTGAATGAAATCTACCGATGGGAGCACCCTCCCAGCCAGCCACCAAACTGCAGGGTATGTAGATTACATGACTTTGCCTACTTACTACAGCAGGCTGACAACTTTGCTAATATAACCCAGGACATGGGAGTTATTATCGGAGCAATCAAATCCAGACTGCACAGACGTCACCAACTAACCGCCCTTTTTTGAAGAGAAATGGTTCTTGAAATGAATTACTCATCCAGTGCAACAAGAAAGGGGGTTTAAAGAACCCAATGTGTTTTAGTTTAAGTTCTCCAAAGCAGGTTTCTTTGCAAAATTCACACTTTTTAAAAGAAAAAAATAACAGGAATAAAGTTTGATCTCCCCTCATGGGCACCACACACACCTATAAATAAAAGCCCAAGCAACCCAGCAGTGATCTTTAAGGAGACTGGATTCATTCAAATATGCTGAGATTGCAAAAGTTTGTGTTTCCTTAGAAGAGTGAAAGTTTGCAGGTTAGGAGTGGAAGGAGCTGGGGAGGGTGAAGGTGTCGCAATGTAGCGAGACACCGACAAACTCCTGTTTCCTGGGAACCTTGGATAGTTCCAGCGGCAAGATGCAAAGAAAACAGGAAGCAACAATAAAGCAGGAAAACTACCCGATGCATCCAAAGGGCTACAAACAACGGACCCGAGTCTGGTCTCCCGTCCTCCCTCACTCCACACCTTTGACTCCAGACGGAGCAGCTCCAACCCCTGGTTTACACCAGCGTCTGAGGAAGCAGAAGCCCGCCTGTTTCTCCAGCTCCATCCCCTTATTTTCTGGGATCGTGGCAGAGCAAATGGCTGGGAAGAAGCACCGAATCCGAAGGGTCCCACTGACCCACCCCTGTCCCGGCCGCCTGGGCTCTGCGGCTGGAAGCGGTTAGGGGGCACTTCCCACCCGCGGCTCTCCAGGGGCATGTCACGGGAACCCCCCGGAGCCTGCGGAGCTCGGACAGGAGCAGGGCCCGCTTGGATCAGGCTCTTCTAGTGCACTTCTCTCCTGTCCCGCCGAAATCCGGTCTCACGCTGCTTGTGTCCAGATCCTCCCCCCGCCACTTTCGCCGCTGCAACAACTATTCTGCCCCCCCCCCGTCCCGTCCCATCCCATCCCGTCCCGTCCCGTCCATGCACGCACCTGCCCGCCCGGAGAACTCTCCCTAATGCTCATTAATTTAATGAATGAATCAATGCTGCCCTTCCCAGGGCATCGCCCTCTGCCCAGCTGCAGCGCCTGTCCGGAGGGGGGGTGCACCAGGCAGAGGCACAGCAGCCCCCCCCATGCCCCCCCCCCCCGGCCCCCCCCCCCCGGCCCCCCCCCCCCGGCCCCCCCCCGGCCCCCGCTCACCTGGCCAGCCGCTCAGCGGCACCGCTCTGGGCAACATTCTCCCCGCGCGCGCCCGCCGTCGCCGCTCGCTCTGGACAGAGCCGGGGGAGCGCGCGCGCGCGCCCGGGGGAAGGAGGCGGGGCGGGGGGGGAGCAGCTGGTTCTCCAGGGCTGCGCCGGCCGCCTGAGCCCCCCCCCCCCCCCCCCCGCTGCACGTGGCTCGCTCCGCTGGTTGCACATCAGCGCCCCCGGCCTGCACCCCGGGGTGCTCCCCACCCGCTGGGTCCAGAGCCGGGGAGCTGCCCGGAGGGGGCTGATCCTGCGCTCACAAGGGGGGGTCCCGGGCCCCAGCCCAGCTTGCTGCATGCACCAGCCCCCAGCAGCAGGCACCTCTGCCGTGCCTGTGGGGGTGTCTCCTGGGGAAAGTGGGGGCCACAGGAAACCAACACAGGTCCCGGGGAGCAACACGCCAGCCAGGGGCCATCCTGCCCTCCTCCGTCCAGACCAGCGCCGAGCACTGCGGGCACCTGCCCCACCAGGGATGTGCCCTTCTGAATGAAACACGAAAGCAGCCAAGGGCCGCATGGTGGAACTACATGGCCGGGGACGGCCTACAGGCCTCCATGCGGCCACCCCTGCTTCATGCCAGGCAGCTCGGGGTCCCTCCTGAACAGGGAGTTATCGGGGGTGGGAGGGGAACAGATCAGAATCCGTGACCTTCAGGATGCTGCCATAGTCCCTGTTTTATTAGAGTTACACAACACCTGATTGGCCTTTGGAACTCACCGCCACAAGACAGCACGGAGACCAAGAACTGAGCAGGAGTCCAGAAAGAACTGGAGATTTATATGAATGATGAGAACATCCCGAGCTTTAATTTATAAGGATTTAAAAACAAACACACGCGAGTTTGGGGTTGATATAAACGCTCCTGTTTCAGGTCAACCCCTGATTGACAGAGGTTAGGAAGAAACTTCCCCGGGGGGCAGGTTATTCCATCACTGCAGGCTTCTTTCACTGTCTCTGAAGCCACTGGGAATGGCCCCTCTTGGCGAGAGGCGACAGGGCTACATGGGCCCTGCTCTGTTCCTCAGTTCCCCAAAGGACGTCGCAATTTCCTCTAATTTCTACCAAAACTGGAAGTGAAGCAGGTGTTTCTCTCGTGAAGCAGAGATAGCTGGGAACGCAGCGGGGTCCGACTGAGCCCAGAGGGGAGGAGGGAGACTGGGATGGTATATTTGGAGGGGGAGGAAGGCTTGCATTACATCCAGTGTGTTGCATCCGTGCCACTGTCACTGCTTGGGTCCCTTTTAAGCCCTTTTAAGGAGCATGGGCAGGGGGGCAGAATTCACCAGACAGGCACTGGCTGGTGGGGGGGGGCACAAGCAATTGTGTTGTGTTGTTTTGTTACGTGTTTTTAAAAAACACCACCACCAGAAGGTGCTAGCATTTAAGCAACAGCTTGGGTGCTGGGAACGGCATTGGCAGCAAAGGGCCTGCAGGGCACCCCCGAGGCAGAGATTTCTTCACTGCCGTGAGGGAGCTTTTGCTAAGCTCAACATCTTTGTAAAGTGGAAAAGCCTGTGTTTGATAGTGCAGCAGCAGCTCCTCCCACCCTTAAGCAGGGCCGGGTTGTGCTGGACGCGGTGTAAATGCACCGGAGACATGGTTCCTGCCCCAAAGAGAATACCGTCTATGCTGCAGAACAACACTCAGAGCTCTTGCCAATCACTAATGAAGCCAAGGAGCTGGGCAGTGAGGTGTTATCCCAGGGCACGCTGGCTAGGAGTGCGAGTCGTAGTACATGGAGCTCACCCACGAGCTTTTAGACGGTTGCTACAGATCCCACGTTGAAAAGGGATGGCTCAGGCTGCTCAAAGAGACCAGCTCCCACTGGCTGTCGAAGCGGGTCACTCCCCAGGAGAGCTGTCGGCTCAGGTGCAGTTTAGGGGGAATCAGCGCAGGGACAGTCCTGCGTTAGTCGGGAGCTGGAAGTGATGGCCCAGTCTAGTTCCAGCATCTATTGAGCAAATCTTGCTCTCGGGAACATTGGTGTAACCGCTACTGAAGTCAATGGGGACCCTGTGACATGGATCTTGTTCTGCCTAAGGGGAACGAAGAGAGGCCCCGATCCTGCACTAGGATCTGATGGCAGGATCAGGCCCAGAGCCAAGATTAAAGTGCGGAACCGCTGCGCTGCTGGGTAGCTGTGATTATAAATTACTTTATTTTTTAAGAACCCTCTCTCCATCACCAGCGCATTTATTTGCTATGCTATCTGATTTTACAATGCAGGATTTTCTCTCCCTATAAATAATTACAGACTCTCTAATGGATCTCAAACCTTGCATTACCTGAGCTGTCAGGAACTTGACAATTACGGCTTAGCCTTCCTCCGCTCTCCAAAAAGCAGGAGATGAGGCCAGGAGGGAGCGTTCCTGCAGTTCTGGCACAGTGTTTCTCCCCTTTAAAGGGCTCTTCAAACATTCATTAACCCTCACACACAACGAGGGGGATAAGCAAGTATTACCCACATCTTGCAGGTAGGGAAACTGAGGCCTGGAGCGGCAATGTGACTTAATCAAGCCCATACAGCCAATCAGCAGCAGGAATACAACCCCCAGGAGAGCTGCCTAACAGCCCCCTGCTGTAACCACTGGACAATACTGTCCCTCGTCCCATTTGAAAGCCACAATCTCCAAGCATTAATAGTCTAATGCAATAATTTCATTGCCACTTTTCCCATCTATGGATGGTTTCGCGATATATTTGCCAAGCCTGTGTGCAGGGATTTCTGAATCAAACCCAAACCCTCCCGCTCCTGAGCACTTTAGGAAACCCATTAAGACCCAGACCAGGGGTCACTTTGCTTGGCGGACCATTTGCACGGTATCGTGTCGTGAGATTTGTGTTGTGCAGTGAGTTGGATGTGAACACACGGGAGCAGCACAGGCAATACCGTAACCAGCCACTGTCACGGGAATCAGCATTCACTCTGCCACAGAGCTTCACTTTTCTGGGTCTGCCAGGGAGGTAAAGAAATGGAATTGCAAGGAACGTGCAAGCCGCATGTTAAAATTTCACAAAATCCGATTGGACTTGGCTGCTGTAATTCACCATCACGCATGGTCAAGGACAAGCCAGGATATCAGCGAGGAATACACAGAGCAGAACAGAATGACGTCAGAGGAACAGGCACAAACCCTGAACTGCGAAGGAAGCAGGACAGCCCAAGGAAGCATGTGCCGCAGAACCAGACATACCCGCAGATTACGCTGGAGCGTCGCAGCCGGGAGGAAACAGGCCTGTTGAAAAGGAGAATCATGCTGTTGGTTTTTTTTAAAAAGGGGGTTGTTTTCTGTACCCCAAACCAAAAGCCGATGCCAGGAAGCCAACAACGTAAGCCACTTACAGGATGCACCAGGGTCACAGGAGACCCTTCGGTTCAATTGCCAAGACTGGTGTCTCGCTGACTGAGAAGTGGTGTGCTCCAGTGGGCAGGACTGCCGCTGACCTCGCACATGACCTTGGCAAGTCACCTCCCAGCCCCGGTGTGTCTGGTCTGTAGGGCAGGGACTGTCTCTTCCGGTGTGTTTGGACAGGGCCATGAAGTCTCCTACGCAGGTGGGGACCCGCGGTGCTCCCCAGACAGGACCAGAGGCTGGTGTTGTTGGGGAAGGGATGTTTCGGGGTCCATGGAGAGGTGAGAGGCTCCCTCAGGTCTCCCAGGCCTGCCCTGTGCAGCAGAAAGGCTCGTCCTGGTGTCTGGCTGGGGAGGGCATTAAGGGGAAATGAGGAAGGAGCCCTGTGCTCCCAAGGGCAAATAACCACTGACCTTCCTGGGGACAGGAGAACCGAATGATTTAGGAATCCGAGCAGCTCATCTCCATGTTCTCCTTCCAAAAGCCAGGCAGGAGCCTTCCCCAGGACCAGGTTTGCGCCCCCAGCCAGGCCTACGTGGAGCCCCCTCTTAGGTGACATACCAGGGACTGGACCCAGAGCGTCTGCTGCTACAGCTCGGTAGCAGACAGAGGGGCACCTGTCACATGCACTCACCACCCCAAGCTAAAGGCTGCGCTGGAAACCCTGAGCCCTCTGAGGGTATTTCCAGGGGTGACGTGGGATCACCAGGGTGAGCCTGAGCTCTCTGTGCGAGTCCACGCTGTGAGATCCTGCGCTGACACTCGGCTCCCGGGGGACTCCCAAGGATCAGCCCCTCCCCGCCCCCATCCCGGGTACAGAACTTTTACAGCTGCTCCATTCTTCAGATCTGGAATCCCGGCCTCTGGCAGCTCCCAAGGCCAACACGCTCAGGGCTTAAACCCAAGCTTAACACAGGCCAATTTCACCTGGCTCGCACATAATCATTTGAGCTGTTAATTTTATTGTTGTGGAGAGCTCCCTGGGATGCAGGGCATGAGAAGCACAA